AGGCAGTACAATGACCCAAACTAGAGGTACTTGACTCATGACCTTGCTGACCTTCTGTTACATGCACTTCAATGTCAAACACTGAAAAATTAGTGGTCTGGGAAATTTATGGACTGATACTCTTTTGAGTGTTTGAATTCACCTTTTCTGACCTCAAACTATTGTCATTTTGGTCGATATCTTCTTTTTATCATTGTTTAAAAAGCTGAATTTTTACAACTGTCGAAAATCAGATCAAGAGCTGATACAGTATTAAAATCTGAGACAGTGAATCAATCTACACGTCATATTTATGAATAATGGACATATTGAAGAGCAGTTTGTTTTACGTTTCTTAGCTGTAAATACACATTAATAAGCAGAGTCTGTGTGTAGCAGCAGGAACCATCAATACAGCCTCCTAACCGTCGCTTTTAAAATGCAAAACTGATAATGATGATAAAACAAAGCAGTTAAGAAGCAGATCAGAGCAATTTCAACCATTATGAAATTAGACGATAACACACATTTACTTTTAAAATACGCATATATGTTAGAACAAATTACCAGGTGTTTCATATTTTTCAGATATACAGTTTCATCTTGCTGGACGAAATTTCTAGCAATAGCGTTGTGTAATTTTTAAAGCTAAACAAAATGATTTTCCTGACTTGCTTACTGATGAGGCAGTGATGAAGAGAGTTACCAGTTGCTGGCCAGAAGCAGTGTGTTGATTTTGGACATTTTTCTGGATCCGGAGCGATGCGAATACGGAAGGCACTGGCGCAGCTCATCTAACGCATCATTCAGGTCATGCATCCTTTTGCGCTCCCTTGAATTGATGCTTATCCGAAGAACTGCCTGCTCCTAAAGAAGCATGGTCGAAATATTCATGAAAATTTGAGATATGCAAATTCTCGACAAATTTCAGCTGGGCAGAGCCTTGATATGGGCGGATGGCCCAGCTGCACCTTGGCATGGGGATGTATTCTGACAAAAAGTGAGCTTTCATACTTAGCACCAGAGAACTGCGGGAAAGTGATACGGTATCAGGCACTTTAAGAAGTATTGCCTTGAGAAGCACTAATTCCAAAAATGGGCGCTTTCTGATTAAAAAAAAACACTGGCCTTCGACCATTACGGTAATCGGCAATAAATTGCCGAACCATACATTTAATATCACTGTTACGACGCATCCCTATGATACTTAACTTTTCTGACCTTGGTGCTCCTCACTGAGCAGCTATGCCCACCGACAGACAAATGCGAACATGGTTTTTTATAAACTTTTGCCCAAAGGAGCCAAATTTTCAAATATTCTCGAAATCTGCATTCTAAAATAGGTAAAAGACACACAGGATTGCATGAATATACGCACCCATAACAACCAATATTGCTCGAGTCTTTGTGTTTCTGCATGAGTGTGTATGTGTGTGTGTGTGTGTGTGTGTGTGTTGCGTGTGTGGAATGTGTCTGGATGTGTGAGTGTGTTTGTACG